GGGGGGGGGAATAAAGCAGAATCATGAAGAAAGAAAAGGATGTCTTGGAAATGGCTTGTGAATGAAATGGGTAAATTCTGTTCTAGATTTTGTAGTTTTTTAATGTTTGTGATCTTTTGTTACTTTTGTTCAAAGTATATTTTTGCGAGGAATAGAATTCTTGTGCATTGTTTGCCCTCCTGTCCTGCTGAAATGGCTGATTGGGATGGCATAAACAAAGCCTGTATATGGTTAGGCTTGAATATTGGCTGAGGAGCCAGGAATGCTACACAGCCAACAACAAAATATGTGTTGTTTTTGAAGTCTTGTCCTATTCATTTTCTTAAAATATTTATTGTCACAAAAGTTGTCTGATGACTAGCTGAGATCTGATGCTGTCATCATGTTACTGTGGGACTTTTATTACTGTTGTCTTGTTTCCATGTATTTTAAGTATATAAAGCCATGTTAATGTGTTTTACTAAAGGACTACCAAAGTACAGGAGGTCAAAATGGAACAAAGTGAAAGTTTCGACGCATATTTTAGCTGCCATTTTCTTGCCGTGAATTAAATTTGCAAAAAGTGTCGACAAAACTTTAAAAGATAAGTCTTTAAGATAGATTTTGGATGTCATTCTTTTTTATTTAGGGAAGGGGGGGGGGGGATTTGAAGTGCCCCCAATTCCAATAAATCATTATCAAACGAACCAGTATATAGTATATGTGTTCGTGATAGTTTATTTTCTCTTAAGTTTCAGTGATTAATGTTTAAGTGGTAAAGTTATAATTTGTAATATAAAGGATCTCATGACGGACTTGGAGTATTTTTCCTGAGTGTCAACGGTTTCTGTAATTAGAAAGTTGCATACAACAATGCAATACCCTCACTGCCAAAAAGTCCCATCACCAAAGCGCTTGATGAGCCAAGTCATGGACGATCCTAACCGATTTATTGTTTCATAACTTCACACAATGAAAACAGGCACAGGTTTTGTTGGTGTAGTTGTGCTGGATACAGGCCAAAGGGCTTTAACTTAAATTGTTGCTGGATTGGAAAAGTGAAGTAAAGTAAAGTTGTGGTGGTGGATCTCTTTGAATGGAGGTTTTACTTATTCAGTATCATGCCAGACTGTAGTGTGCATGGCCCGACTTCAAATTACCGATGTATCGTTATACAGTAGGACTTATCCCTGGTTATAGGGCTGTCAATTTACCGGAACCTTCCAGAAGTTGAACATTCCAGAAGTGTGTGTGTTTACCATAATTTATGTCCCCCATTTCAAAATGTGATATTACAGTTGCAGTCTTTTCTTCTGTTTACTCTCTATAATGTTCTAGAAACTTTTATATTTTCTGCTGCATACTTAGACTCAAGTGACATAGGGGAAATGTGAAAGGAACTAGCAGCATTTATGGTGTCCTAGTCATTTATGGATAAACAAACCTTTTCTCTTCTTATTCGATAATATATGCAATATTTTTATACCTGTTTCTCTCTAGGGTTCTATCGTTTTGTTTTGTTCTATTAGAATATTCTTTTTTAGAATTATTTTTTCCCACTCAAGGCAGAGAAAGTTAAAAAAAAAATGTCTTTACTACTAACTCTTGAAATAAAAATATGAAGCTTTTTAAGGTAAGAAGTTTGAGGTATAATTATTATACTTTATTGATCCTCGTGGGAAAATTCAGGTTATTATTTTAAATGTTTGAGGTATTTTTGTCACTGGATTCAAATGAGTCATCTGCTGTAGATTTGTCATCTGTATGTGTGGAACCAGGCTTTTTGAGAAAGTTCC